TTCATAACAGCTTGCACAAGACGAAGTTATGTAGGCCTGGCTATGCGACAAGATTCTGACCCTTGAATGGATGAATGGATGTCTACCTTAGTAGACATCAAAAAGTAGGATGAATACTGGACATTAGATATGAAAAATGGTTGAATTAACATTAAAACTTACCAGTCACTCAAATGTTAATGGTTTTCTTAACCAAATGTTCACATCCGTTGCAGTCTTCCTAATGAAGGTAAGACAAGTGGACTTCCAAAGGTAATTAAGGGTTAGGAAACTGGCATTCTAGGGAAATACTGGTAAACAACATATTAAAAGAAAAGGTTACATTAAGCAAGGAGGAAAAAATAGCACTTCCTGAATATCAAACTTTAAATGTTTTTGATGTATAGTGATAAAAGAATCAAGGAGTGTCAAAATGGTACCTGAAATGTATCTTGTGCTTAACAAAATGTGATTTGAACAGCAGTGTGCTAAAAATCAGTGCAAGAGACCCAGCTATCAACACAGAGAAGCAAAATCAACATAAAATAACATTCCTCATAATGAATTTCTTTCCTAGGTAGATATTTGATTTTGGATCCGGTACATGAAATTCCTAGAGTACTGGAGTATACAATTAGAGCAAATTGGTACTCTTCCAGTTTCCTTTATAAGCATTCTGCTTACCTAGTGGGATTGTATTCAAGTGGATTAATGTAGAAGCAAATAGCTACCATAGCTATCTCTCCCTTTTGAGTTTGCTCACTTAGCAAAAGCAATAGAGATTTCCATATAAACTTTTAAGAGATTTTTTTAATAGGTTAGTGGTTTGCTGCACTGGCAAGGTTCAGTTGTTGAGAACTGAGAGGAAATGTAAGAAAATTAAGAGAAGTATAAATACAAGGAGGCAGGACATAAGACATGTGTACAACAAACCAGATACCAACAGCACATAACAGGCACCAAAAGCAAGAAGCAGGCAAGACGATGCAGCATAATGTCAACGTAGAGAAATCATGGTTTTCCCTCTATAGATTCAAACTGGTAAATGGATGAGAACCTTGCTAAATAATTGTCTTGTGCATCTCAGTTTGCTTCAAGAGTAGGAAAATCAAAAAGGAGGGACTAGGGATGAGGTAATGACTAATATTTGCCCCAAAGATCCTAAAAGGCTGACCCGAGGGTCTTAGCTCAAGAGCTACCACTGCTTACAACAAGATTATTGCCAACCTCTGCAAGGGGGCAGAGTGGCCTTATGCGGCTGAACAGACCAGACCAAAGAGGGGCTGATGAGAGGCATGGTGGCCAAAATCAAATTGAACACCACCAGTGTCCATCTGCTGGTCTCAGTGACAGCCAGAGTGCTAGGAAGAAGAGGAGGAAGAGGTGGCTGCTGTGGGCCGAAGGGGGAGTGGAGGGAAGTCCCTGAAGGAGGAAAGCAGCGGGACTCAAAAGGCGGGGGCATCCTCCTCCACCCTCCCAACACTGAGCCCAATGACATGGCTGGTTCCCAAGGGAAGGGAGAGACAGAGGGAGGCATCAGGTCTCAGGTGAGGGCAGGACGGCCAGCCTTGCTTTGTCTTGAAGCCCCTGTTCTCACGTTAAATCCCAGGCGCTGACCTAAACTGAGAACAAGCCAAGAACAACCACTACCTCAGTCTTATGTTCTCTTCCTACAAAAGAGCGAAAGGAAAAAAACCATGCTTTCTTTTCCTCCGTCTGCCCCACTGGTTGACCAGCATCCTAAGCCACCAACAGCTACTCCCTATTGGCACGTGCACTTATGATGGTGAGGGAAAGGTATATATCTGTGAAGATTCTCAGTCCTCCAGGTGAGGTTATCTTGAAGTTGAGTCATGGCAATTGGACTTCTTTCTTATTAGGTTGAAACGTTTTTGCTACTCCTCCAAGTAGCTTCTTCAGTCTGAGGAAAGTTGGTAGGAGACCCCTGATAGATCCTCCACGTTGGTTTCACTTCCCTCTGGTCTGAATAGGCTCCTAAGATGGACCAAGGACTGGGGGTGAAGGATAATTCCACCTCTGCAGTCTTCTCCACCTATTGTCATGGGTTGTTAACGGTTGTTAACAGTGGTCTTTCTGGTAAGTGTAGTCCTGTTCTTTCTGGGGATGGATGAAAGAGTAGCATGAGCAATAGGAGGCAGATTGTGTCTAAAGTCTCCACCCCTGTTGAGCGAGAGATTTTCTATATGCACATGTATGGCTTCCCCAGCCCCTCTCTCAAACCACCTATCTTCTCGGTCCAAAATGACTACATCTTGGTCATCCAATGAGTGTCCTTTGTCCTTCAAACGAAGGAACTGCGGATTGTGGTCCTGAGCCACTGCCCCTCCTGTGCTCGGACATTCTCTCGTTTAGTGGGTGTTTGGTTTCTCCAGTGTAGAGCTCTGAACACTCTTCTTTGCATTGGACCCCATAAACTATAGTGCTCTGCTTTGGTGTGTTTGTGGGTTTGAAGTGCACAGGTATGTGGTGTTTAACAAAAAAATTCTTGCAGTGTTCTCTATTTATTAGGTCTATGGTTAATGTTACGTAGAGCTCTGAACACTCTTCTTTGCATTGAACCCCATAAACTATAGTGCTCCTGTTGTGTTTTTGTTGTCCTGTCTTTTGGGTGGATGAGTCTCTGCTTTAGTGTGTTTGTGGGTTTGAAGTGCACAGCTATGTGGTGTTTACCAAAAAAAATTCTTGTAGTGTTCTCTATCTATTAGGTCTATAGTTCATGTTATATTATGCAATGGTCTATGTTTGTTATGTAATAATGATTCATGCATATTAATGTTGATGAGAGGCGGAGCCGAAGGAGATGCTATAAGAGGCGGAGCCTGAGTCAGTCAGGGGGTCAGTTAGAGAAATGTAAGAGTCAGGCAGGAGAGAAAAGCCAGACAGAGTAATAGAGTGTGTAGTTTGGGAAATTTAGGTGTGATTAACTACTGAAGATGTTTATGAATCTCTGTAATCAATAAACCAAAGATTTATTTAAAGGAACTTGAAGTGTGGACCTGAATCTTTCTGATTAGTGATCACCTGGTGGCAGCAGTGTTAAAGAGGAGAGTGTTTGCCTTCCTGTGTTCTGAGGCTTGAAGGTCAAGCAAAAGGGGCACGAGGGTGGACGCCACAATCCTTTGGAGCTTTTCAGACACACCCACCGAGTAAGGAATGACCATCGGCTCTGGATCGCAGACTGTTCCATGGTCCTCCTTGGTTGGGACATTGGCTTGTTAAAGGCCCATTTGGATATCCACAAGCCTTAAGAACTGTCTTCAGATGTCCGTCTTCCTCCTTCTTGGCTTCTTGGTCTTTTCCTGGCCTGTCTAGTCATCATAGGCAGCTTACAAATAGAAGATCTACAGAAACACCCCACACACACACACACACATACACTGATCAATACATGCAGTTTGATTCTCATCGCCTGTTGCAACACAAATTAGGGGTCATCTGGATGTTAAACCACAGAGCAAGACACATGCCCAGCTCCACAGTAGGAGATACATACACACACACACACACACCCTCCCTCTCTGACCAGCCATGGCCCCCTGCAATTGAGGGGGGAGGAGAAAGGGGCTATCAAGCCCTCTCCTCCACTGGCCAGAAACAGCAAGACCCTGGCCGGTCTCTTTCCTGCCCGTATTTGCCGTGCTCTGCTTTGTGCAGGGGTCAGGATATCTCTTTTTGACAAAGGTTGATGCTCTGGTGGGAGCAGAGAGGCCCAGGAGCCGAGGAGCCCTCCTTTCACTCCCTGCTTCTCCAGAAGGCCCAGGCAGTTGTGAATGGAAGCTTTGGTCTGGCCAGTCCCTTCGATTTGGGCTTCCGCTCAAGGAACACAAGAGGACTTGCTCTGTCTATGGAAAATGTCCCAAAGAGTTCATAAAGCGAGAGCAAGGAGACTGAGCCTCACTGAGAAACGGTGGGGTGTAATGGATAGAACATAGGACGCAGAGACCTGGGTTCAAATCCCAATGCACCCAGGGAAATTCACTGGGGGTGTCTGGCACTGGTAAGGCACTCGTCAAGACATTTCACATACTTCAAAAACCCTCGATGGAGAGATGGTGTGATGTGTAGTGAGTAGAGTAGAAATGGACAGAGTCTGGGAAACTCAGGTTCAAACCTTCGCTGGACGGCGGAAACTCTGGGGAGTAGAAATGGGAAAGCGATCTCTGAACCTACTAGCGTAACTCTTACCGGGACTGCAATAAGTAAAAAAAAAAGGGACTTGACGGCATGGAACTGTATGCCTATTTCTTTTTGCAACCCATCTTGAACATCTGCCATATCTCATTCGATTACGATAACCATCTTTGACGCTAAACCTAGGGCGTCACTTTGCTTGGATGAAATGTATATGTTTGCTCAGATGTGAAGGTGATGCAGTGTTCCCATAATGGTTACACGTTTGGGCTTCTCCATTTGCGGTTGGTGATTGGGATCGAAACACGAACCACGTTTCCATTCTGTTTTGTTCTCCCTTGCTTGTTTTCCCATATGGTTTCCTCTCACGGCGTATCAGAGCGTTGGCAACCTGGAAAGCAATCCTTCCATTCAAAGTAAAAAGAAAAACCCTCATCAAAATATTTCTACAATAAATGCAAGGAACATTTTAGCTTAATATTTCACGAAATCTTTATTTGGGTTTTTGTGGTATGGCTAATGAACATTTGCATAATGAATCAAAAACAGTAATTTAGAATATATTTTTCTCCTGGGTTTACAAAGAAAGGTTGCGTTCCAGATGAATTAATTCCAGCATTCCAGGACAGGTCAGAACTACTTTCTGTATGATTTTTTTGGATGAGATGTGAAATAAGCATGCTGAATTAAGCTCCTTCCACATACAGCGGTGCCTCGCTTGATGATGTTAATTCGTTCCAGCGAAATCACTGTAGAGCGAAAACATCGTAACGCGAAAATAAAAACCCATTGAAATGCATTAAAACCTGGTTAATGCATTCCAATGGGCTAAAAACTCATCGTCCAGTGAAGATCCTCCATACGGTGGCCCTTTTTGGTGCCTGTATAGTGAGGAATCCGTCCCTAAGCACAGCTGGCAGCCATTTTGAAAACCTGACGATTAGCTATTTTGATCGACGCAATGCGAAAAAAACCCATTTAAAACATCGTTTTGCGACTGCAAAAACCTAATTGTCAGGCAATTCCCTCGTTAAGCGAGGCAATCGTTACGCGAGGCACCACTGTACTAAGTTTTTATAGGACTTCTCCCCCCTGTGGATCCTTTGATGGACATTGAGGTGGGTTCTCTGACTGAAGCTCCTTCCGCACTCTGAACATTGATAGGGCTTCTCCTCTGCATGTACTGCTAGATGTCTGTGGAGGTTTGAGCCCCGGTTGAAGCTCTTCCCGCAGTCGGCACACTGGTACGGCTTTTCCCCAGTGTGGATCCTTCGATGTATACAGAAGTCCGAGCCATACATGAATTGCTTCCCACACTCTAAACATTTATAAGGTCTCTCCCCTGTGTGGTTCCACTTGTGACTCTCCAGCTGGATGCGATTGTGGAAACTTTTCCCACACTCCAAGCAATCGCTATAGGATTTCTCCCTGGCGTGGATCCCTTCATGCCTGTTGAGGTGGGTTCTCTGGCTGAAGCTCTTCCCACACTCGGCACACTTATAGGGCTTCTCCTCGGCGTGCATTCTTTGATGCCGGCTGAGGTTTGAGCCCTGGCTGAAGCTCTTCCCACACTCTACGCATGTATAGGGTTTCTCCCCCGTGTGGACTCTCTGATGTAAATAGAAGTCTGAGCTGTATATGAATTGCTTTCCACATTCCGAGCATTTATAGGGCTTCTCCCCCGTGTGCAGCCTTTGATGGCTTTCAAGATGTGTGGGGCTGAGGAAGTTCTTCCCACACTCTGAGCAGCCATTATAGGATTTCTTTCTTATATGGCTTCTCAAATGTCTGCTCAGGTGGGTTCTCTGAGTGAAGCTTTTCCCACACTCGGGGCATTTATAAGGCTTCTCCTTTCTATGTATTATTTGATGTCTTCTAAGGTGTGCGCTCTGGCTGAAGCCTTTTCCACAGTCCGTGCATTTATAGGGTTTCTCGCCCGTGTGGACTCTTTGATGTAGGCAAAAGTCTGACCTATATATGAACTGCTTCCCACATTCCGAGCATTTATAGGGCTTCTCCCCCGTGTGAATTATTTTGTGCCTTTCAAGGCGCGCTCTGTTCTGGAAGCTTTTCCCGCACTCGGAGCAGCCGTGGTAAAATCTCTCCCTTACGTGGAGTCTTTGGTGCCGGTTGAAGCCACTTTTGTCGCTGAAGCCCTTCCCACACTGCGCGCATTTGTACGGCTTCTTCTCTGCGTGGGTCATCCAATGCCTCTTGAGGTACATGCTCTGGGTGAAGCGCTTTCCGCACTCGGAGCATTCATAGGGCTTCTCCCCCGTGTGGATCCTCTTATGTACCATCAGGTTTCCTCGAGTGCTGAATCCTTTCCCACACTCACAACATTTGTTGGGTTTTTCGCCCACAGGTGCTGTAACGTCAGGCGTCTCTCCTTCTTTGCTCCCCTCCACGAACGGACCGTCGCTTTTTTCCAGACAAGAAAGGACATCAGATGTGGGAACTGGAAGCCCTGCGGAAGGGAACGGAATTGAGAAAGAGAAATAAATTTTCTTTGCCATATCTGGGAAAAAATAAATAAAATTTAGGGGTAGACATGGAGCTTGTGGTGGCTTCTCCTCCAATCTCAGAAGAAATCTTAAATCACAAGATCATGCCAGGCATTTTGCATTGTATTTTAATTGAATTTTAATTGTTGTAAGCCGCCCAGAGACCTTTGGTCGGCATATAAGTTAAATAAATAAAATAAATAAATGACCACCACCCAGAAGGAAAGTGACCTTGGACCAAAAAAAGCCCAGCACCTTGATTCCTTCTGGAGCTGACCCCAGCCTTGAACTCCGATTAAACCATATACAGGAAGAAGGGATCCATGTAAATCCTGGATTTTAAGGCCACGCTGTTCCAAAAAGCACATTCAAGCGGAGAATTCTAATTTTTCTAAATTTAAAAATAAGAAAACTAAAGCCAAAGGCAGGCAGGAAGACACATCTCTTGCTTGCTTGCCATCAATAGTTCCCAGTTTGGATCCCCAGATGTTCTTGACAAAAATGCCCGGAAGGCTTCTGGGAGTTGCAGTCAAACAACACCTGGGTTACCCACGGTTGGGAACTACTGTGGTACATCAATAAGCCAATTCCAATATAAGTGGAAAGTTCCCATTATAATCATTATAAACGAAATGCCAGTAAAAAGCAGCCATGCGACTGCAGAGTTATACCCTATTTTCTACCTCTCCTGTCATATGGTTCAATGTGGCCTTGGGCACCCCTCTCTCTCTCTCTCTCTCCCTTGCTTGCTCACTCTCTTATCTCTTGATAAACCTAGATGGCTCTCTACTGGGAATGGGCCATAAGCTGGGCCAGCTAAATCCATCCTCCATCTTCAGAAGAAGTGAGGGGTGGGGGGGGAGAGAGTTTTTCCATTATTTTTAGAGCTTTATACTCCAAAATAGAAAAAGTGTCCTTTAGTGTCCTTCACAGCTACAACAACAACAACAACAACAACAACAACAACAACAACACACTTGTGAGCCGCGGCCTGTTTCCTCCAGGGAAACTACCCATTCTTATTGTTGCACTGTATTTTTTAAAAATTAAAAATTATTTTCCCCCAAAAAACAGTTTCCAAAGGGAGAAAAAGGTCCCCTCAATAGGCCAGAAAAAACCAAACCCTCTCATGCATCTCAGCCTGTAACTAGCCGGTGCCTTTAAACAGTTTAATTTCTGTCGTTGCTTCAAATTCCTATTTGTTTTCTCTGTCCTGTGAGCTCCCCCCCCCCTTTTTAAGTCCACTGAAAGGTGTCATTAAAAAAATGAACTAAACAAATAAGCTTTTGAAAGCTGCTTTGATCACTCCTGATTTTTTAAATAATTTTTGATTTTTGTTCTTTAGTCGTGTCCTTTAAGTCCACTGAAAGGTGTCATTAAAAATTCAAATAAATAAGCTTTTGAAAGCTGCTTTGATCCCTCCCAATTCTTTTAATAATTTTTGGTTTTTGTTCTTTAGTCGTGTCCGACTGTTCGTGAGCCCATGGACCAGAGCACGTTTAATGGTTTGGAACATAAAATCGTTTATTGTGTTTGTCACTGGGTTGTTTTCATAATTCGGAGTGGCCTTGGCAGCCAGAGGGGTGGTATACAGATAAGGTAGGTAGGTAGGTAGGTAGGTAGGTAGGTAGGTAGGTAGGTAGGTAGGTAGGTAGGTAGGTAGGTAGGTAGGTAGGTAGGTAGGTAGGTAGGTAGGTAGGTAGGTAGGTAGGTAGGTAGGTAGGTAGGTAGGTAGGTAGGTGGGTGGGTGGATGAATGAATGAATGAATGAATGAATGAATGAATGAATGAATGAATGGTGAACCAACTTGGGTTCCACAATTAGAAGAAAAGTACCATAGAAATAAAATAAAATGAAATAAAATAAAGTAAAATAAAATAGACAAAAGGGCCTCAATGCCATGGGTAGTCCCTAGCAGAGCAGACCCACCAAGCCAACTGCTGAGAGGATTTGGCTCCTGTATAAATCCTGTTAATTTACTGGGTCCATCTCAGTTCCTATCAAGTTCATCCAGGCAAGACATATTTAGACTGCACTGTCTTTGGGGCAGAGACCTTGCTGCGCTCTATTTGATGGCCTGTCAGACATGCAGAGCAATAGCCCCACAAAAAGACCCGTTCATCAAGAACGGGCACCCACGCTTCTGAGAGGACGCCAGGATGGAAGAGGGCCCTGTTCATTTTATCTGCTTTTATGCCCTCAGAGCAGAGACGGAGCCCTTACCCAGCGATGCCACGTTCCTGTAATTCTCCAGCAGGACCTCCCAGTACAGGGCCTTCTGATCCGGATCCAGCAGCGCCCACTCCTCCGCTGTAAAATGCACGACTACCTCCTCACAGATCCCCATATGCTGAAGGAAGGAAGGAAGAAAGAAAGAAGAGATTATCATATCCTTAACGAACAAACAAACGAATTCACAAACAAACGAACAAACAAACGAATTCATGTAGAGCCAGTTTTAATGTATTGACAGGGGATTGGAGTTGATGGCCCCTGTGATCTCTTCCAACTCTGTGATTCTATGACTCAAGAAGCTCATGGATGCAGATTTTTTTTAAAAAAAATAGTACATTCTTGTTCTAAGAAAGAATTAAACTGCAACACACAGCCGAAACAAAATGCAGAATCAAATTTTGGGGGGGGGGGGGGGGGGCACCCCACGGCAAGCCT